CATATCCAGCGCGCGAGAGCTCGGCAATCTCATGACGGAAGCAGCTACCGTCAAGGAAGATATCGCCATCAAAGGTGCCACCGTCCTGGGGAGGCTCAACCCATTCACATCTGGCCTGAAATTCACAATCCAAAAACTCCCGAGACGGCCGAGGGAAGACGTCTCCAGGATGCGGAAAGACACCCCTGGTGAAAAGCAGAGCAACTTCGGGGTCGGCCAGGTCCGCGTCAGCGGCTTCATCAATCAAACTCTGTGAAACGGTCTCCTCTCTCGTGGAGGCGACGGCAGGGCAGCGCCAGAGTCGATGGAAGGTCGAATCGCCAGTGAAACCGCAGAGCTCGCATCGATCCTCGAGACCGCGGTGCCCGACCTTGATCGCCCGATCGCGAGTCCAGAGCGCTTCGCAAGTCAAGCTCCTGATCGATCCACGTTCCTGGGAGGTGACCCGCGACGATCGGAGGCGAGATCGGACGATGTCGAAACACAATCGATCGCAAGACAGGCCCTGCTTAGCCGAAGCCTCACGCTCCAGGGCGCGCCGACAGGCCTGCTGCAACATTTTCTTCAGCATAGCTGGGGGCACGCTCGTCAGCAATATCGTCTCCCCGAAATCGTTCACGATCGTGACGAAATCTGACATAGACCACTTGATGCGAATAAGGGAAAGACGCATGGCGCTAATGGGCCCCCCGACGTCGCGCCACCTAGGTTCCGCCGCCGCGAACACGGTCTCCCAGCTGAGTCTCAACTGGTCCCAAGGGATCGTGTAGGGATAGGCGCCCGTCTGGAGCGCCCATATTTCTTTGGCGTACCTAACCACGGGGGCCACAGCCCCCACCCAAGTCGGGTCATCGTTCAGAAGGAGGGTGGCGGTCAGCGAACGCCCCCCCGCACCAGGTCTCAGAACGCGCCCCGCTTCACGACGGATCTTCGCCAACTCGAAGTCCGAAAGCCCATGGATCTCCGCCCCGTAGAGAACCCCAGGCAAAGTCCCAGAGACCCAAATACGCTTACAATACTTACCGAGGCTGCAACTCAGCTTGACGAGCTTCTTTGTAGAAGCTTTCAGGGTGTCCACGCGGACCCTAAACTTGTGGCCTCTCCTGGCGGCTCGTCTGGGTCCCCCTGCAGCATCGTCGATCCCCAGGTTCACGGCGCTGTCCGTGATCGGCCCAGCGAGGGGCCCCAGGAACTGACGAAGCTGCGAAGAGACCTCAGCAGATGAGCAGACAAAAGAGGCCTTATCAGGCGCCACCTTGCATTTCATGTCCAAGGTGAGAGCGTCGTGCAGGCCCTGCGAGGCTTCCTTTAAATCATGCACGACCTGGGCCTTGGAGCCCACCGCAGACAGCCCGCAATCATCGATGCACTGGTCCAGCTGGACGCTAGGCCCGAGCTTCAAGGAGTCAAGAGGGGTGATCATGTAGACCTTGACCCATGTCGTGGCTAACGAACAACCCGCGATAACCCCTCGAGCCGCCATCAGCGGGCCCGAGACGTACCCAGCCATGCAAATAAACCGGGCCCCTCGGTAGGCCGCGATCGAGAGACGATATAAGGCCACAGGGACCCCGTGTCGCACGCAACGCTGTTCCAAAAGCCCGAGGTCGATGGTTTCGTAAAACTTGGACAAGTCCCAAAGAATCGTGGCCGCCACCAAACCACGACGATAGGAGCATTCAGCCCTGACTCCTTGACGCCACACGACGTCGCTGGCCGAAGCAAAAGACTGGCCAGCGAAATAAGCTCGAGGATGCTCCAATTCCCACTGCTGTGCTATCACCCTTCTCGCTTTCCCCCACAATCTGTACATGCTGCAGAACAGGCCAATCGGCCTCCAGCCGCCGTGCGGCTTCATGCTGAGCGCCGGCTGAACCAGCTGGATCTGGAAGGGGAGTGAGGAGGTCATTTCCATGATGGCCAGCATTAGGCCCACGACGTACAAGCAATCGTCGGTCATCCAGGAGTAGTGTTTCATGTGGAAACCGTCGAGCCCAAAAGCAGTCCTGGGGGAGTACCTGGAGGAGATCATCCTGAGAAATTCGGGTTGCAAGAAAGGGAGGGGGCTACAAATACCTTTCGAACCTTCATCGAGCGCGGGGGGCCCCGTCGACTTGGCACCCCATAATTCAGCATAGAGCGAAGACTGGGACTCCAGCAGAGAAAGAGGGTCAGAGAGCACAACCCCAGCCGAGCTGAGGGTCGTGGTAGGCTTCCAGCCCGCGGCAGGCTTGCGAGCGAGGTGAGCGTTCCTTCCTCCCTTTTCAATGTTGGTCAACAGCCATTCCTTCCAACTTTTCCCTCCCTGAGTCCTAGCATCCGACTGCTCGTGGACTATGGCGGCATCCAGCTCGCCAAGGATGTGCGACAGGTGCTCCTGATGAGCTTCATCCTCCACGCAGAGCCGACCACCTGGAGCCGCGACGATCGACACGAACGAGTGAATGGACTTGACGAGCGCCTGATACCTATCCAGATCGCTCGCGAACTCAGAGGGAATCTCCAGCAGCATCTGGCTCTTCTGGCCACGCGCCTGCGAACTGCGAGGGAGTACGTGCCAGTGCCTAAAGGTGTGGGACAACCACTTGATGGCGAACAGACGCGGGTGGCGGCCCTTGGAAGAGCCGCTCTTGAAGACAGGCTGCCAGACTAACTTGGGGCCCTTACTCCTGGCCCCGTAGTACGGGAGGGTGATATGTGCAGCATCAGCGATTTCACACTCCGCCAGACGAGCCCAGCGCCCGTAAACCCTACTCAACTCTTGGGTAGCCTGACCGACGGGTTCCCCTGGGACCAAAGAATCGAGAAGGGCACTCGCCTGCCCCTGGAGCCGCCCCCAGTGGGGAGGCCGTTTAGAGGGCCCGATAGGCCGCTGGGCAGGGATGGGAGGAGGTTTGTAAAATCCCAAAGCCTGCATCTTACAAGCGCGAGGGTACAGAACGATTTCGACAGGTGAGTGCGGAGCGAGCTGCGAGGTGGTAACCACGTCGACCGACTGAATAACCTTCGAGACCCCACTCGTCGCAACGAAATAGTCGAGCATTTTGATGCCCCCCGTGGTGAGGCAGGTCCCCTCGCCCTGGGGGATGATCAGGTTCCCATGGAGGCGTTCAGTGAACCCGCTGTCCTGGACGAGGTCGGGCGACATGTTGAAATCAGCCGCGACCAAACATTCACTAGCATACACCTCTGCTGCCGACCCAACCTTCCCCAAGATGTCAAGATTTCGGTCCGTCAGCCCCTCGGAGTGATGCATGTACACCGAGGCGAACAGGATGGGCTGGTCAAGCCCTCCAGGGAGATGAACCAGACCCGCAATGGCCCTACTTGGGACCAATTCCGACCCTTGAGGGAGGTCGTGAAGGCCTAGGAAGGATCGGCAGACTAAGGCGACACCACCTGAGCTTCCTTCGCCGACTCCAGGACGGGCTGGCGAGAAGAGGCCTTTCCAGCCATGTCTGAGGCACCAATCTAAAGCCGAGCGACACGACTCATCACTACAGAGGTGGTGTTCTTGAGCGGCCACGACATGGGCCGATGTGCGGGCGAGCCATTCTTTACATGGCCCCCAGGAGGTGGCATTACACGTCTGGAATATGAGGGCAAGCTGGTCGGACTCGGGGACAGGGGGGCCAGACGACGGGCCAAAACTGGGTCCTGACATAGGCCCACGGGCGCCCAAACCAGGGCCGCACCCCAACGACGGATCCGAGGGACCAGGAGGTATCAAAAAACTTGGCGCCTCAGGTGACTTCAAATCTCCCCCCCACTTCGACCTAGGCAGTCGAGGTGGGCGGCAAAGATTGCTCAGGTGGTTGAAAGTCGGCTCCCAGCACCGTCTCGGCGCGGGCAAGCAAAGCAGAGGAGCGGGCGGCCGAGTCAGAATCAGAAACGCCAGCACTGGCCGAAGCTCCGGAGTGATCTTCAGGTTGAACGGCAGGAGAAGGTCCCGCCGCACGAGCTTCGTCATCCACATGACCACCACCAGGCATCGCCGCTCCTTCGGCCTTGCGACGCTTCGCCAGGCCCGAGACGTGCGACTTGTGCAGCTGCCTGGCCTCCTCGAGCTGCTTGGCCGCCGCCCCGAAGAGGTTCTGGGTGGTCTCGACAAGCCGCTTGCTGAGGTCCTCTGCACGAGCCGCCATTTGCTTGCGGTCCTCTTCGCCAAGCTCGTAGACTTCAGGGTCCACGTTGAAGAACGACTCCACACTGGTGGCGTCGAATAGCTGCTTCCCGTCCAGTAAGTCCTGGAGCGAAAGAGAAGCCGAAGAAGGTGGAGAGCTTGGTGGTGCAACCTCTGCTTGCAGCTGCGCAACGAGCTTCTTGTAGCGGTCATTCTCTTCGACCAACTGTTGACGAAGGGAGTGAATCGAATTCTTCTTATCAGCCAACCATGTTTGCCACTTCTCGAATTGCTCCAGCTCGTTGGACAGTTTCTTTTCCAAGGCCTTCCTGGCTCGGTCAGATTGATTCGCCTGCACTTGAATCGGTATAGGTGCCGAGCCAGCCTTCCTTTTGTCCAAGCGCTGCTGGAGCGCCGCGGCGTGTCCATGGTTGCCCATCTTCCTGTTGAGTGAGATGAGCTGGTGCATCTCGTCATCCGTGAGGTCAGCGTCGCGGATGACGCCCTGGCCTGCACCAGCTCCTGGTTGTCCTCCCCCTCCTTGTGGTCCCACAGGGCGAGGCTGAGGAGGAGGCGCCGATGGTGGGGCCTGCCCCGCTGCACCAGCACCGTTCGCCCATACACCGCCAGGTGGCTTGGGCGTGGAGACGTCGACCTCGGCTCGCAAACTGTGACACTGCTTGCAGAACCAGAAACGTCCGGCAGGAGGAGGAGAGCGAGGAGGACGGGAAGGAGGAGGCGGACGAAGAGTGAGGAGGAGGATGAGGGGGAGGGAGAGAGGGATGGGGTGGGAGGAAAAGGGAGGACAAGGACAGAACTAACAGCATCGACATGGATCACGCCTGCCAGCAACACAGGCGATCGGGCAAGGCCCAGGTCACAGCAGAGGCCCCGTGTCCACCAGGTGCACCGCGGCCCTGGGGAGCACGGTGGCCTACGCTCGGGGGGCGGCGGAGAGGGGGAGAGGGAAGAAGATGAGACCGACACAAATAATGTAGGATGAAAGCGAACACGACGCGGACGTAAGGAAAAACAACGAAATCATGGAAAAGAGCGTTGGGAACAACCGGGAGGCAACGGAAGCGAAGGTTACGGTTCAGCTAGGGGGGCACCTCGGCCGCGGACAAGCTAAACTCGCACGAGGCTGACCCCGCGGAAGATGCGGTCGCGCATGGAACGACAGGAGAAATGCAAGGACTCCCACCAGCCCTGTGGTCAAAAGTGCAGGGGAACAAAATGTGGCAGAAACATAAAAACTCGGAGGTCCGCGCAGATTCCTCGGATCGGCGCTGGACCCCCCTCCCAGGCGCGCGGAGCGCGCCAGGGGCGGCGCCGGAGTCGCCGCCGGGGGGTCCCAGCGCCGATCCGAGAACTCTGCGCGGACCTCCGAGTTTTTAGGTTTCTGCCACCTTTTCTTCCCCTGAGGTGGTCCAGAACCTTTCCCTGTCTCACGTCTTCTCTTTCCTTCTTCGGGGAGATTGCCTCCCCCCCGGGGCCTGGGCGGGGATGGACCCTGGCCTCCGACGTGAATCCATCGGGCCCGCCGGAGCGTCCTGGTAGAGGCCCAAAGGCAGCTCAAATCTGGACATATTCCAGCTGGTTAAGCTGCCTCGCCTCTTTGATTCCTATGGGATTCTCCACCGCGCGGGCGAAGACGATGTCGGGATCACCTCACTCCCCACTTCAGACCACTCGCTGAACGTGCGCGGGGTGTGAACTCGACCTCCTTCCTACCGAGCGGACATAGACGAGGTCGAAAATGCGCTGTGCCTACACTCAGCCTCCTTCCTGCTGTGCTGCTGCACGGGCACGGTAGCGGGGTTCGCCGCAGGCAGCTGGATAGATTTCAACGGTTTAAACTATCTCGCCTTTTCGGTTCGTATGGGACTCTGAAGCATCAAGAGGGCTCCAATCTCGCACCAGAAAGCTCCTCTTCGGGCCCGGAAGGGCTGCAGGATGGCTCCGAATACCCGCCGATGCGCCCCAGTAGAGGCCCAAAGGCAGCTCCAAGGGGGCCGAAATAGGGCCCCAGGGCGGCCCCAGAGCGGGCATCAAGGGGTGGCATGCCCCGAAGTGGCCCCGGAATCGCCCCAGGATGCCCCCAAGACAACCCCAGGAGGCTCCGACATGGCCCAGGACACGCCCAAAGGCGCCTCCAAGAGGCTTTGCCAAACCACCTCAAAAGCCTAAGGTCTCTCAATCTTGGCTTACCCGCCGCTCCCTACGAGCTCCAGAGCGGCTGGAGATGGCCCGCAAGCTGCTTCGAGAGGACACCCGCCACCAAGCACCCTCTCAACCCCTACGAGCCCTCGAGCACATGCCAACACGAAGATGCAACATATGCCAGCGGATAGCACCACCAGCAATAATCAACCACAGCTCCAACAACAACAACACCAACACACCAACACCAACACCACCACCACCACCACCACCAACAACAACAACAACAGCAACAGCAACAGCAACAGCAACAGCAACAGCAACAGCAACAGCAACAGCAACAGCAACAACAACAACAACAACAACAACAACAACACCAACACCACCCACCCCACCACCACCACCACCACCACCACCACCACCACCACCACCACCATCACCACCACCACCACCACCACCACCACCACCACCAACAACAACAACAACAACAACAACAACAGCAACAGCAACAGCAACAACAGCAACAACAGCAACAGCAACAACAACATCAACAACAACAACTCCAACAACAACAGCTCCGACAATAGCAGAAGAAACAAACAAATGCCAATGTCAACGGGTAGGGTATCCCGTGCTCCTTCCCGTTCCCTCGCGGGCCCTGCCTGTGGCGGAGGCGCCAGCCTCACCATCGGGGCCGTCGCGGGAGCTGGCGCCGCCTGTCCCCCTCGTCCAGCAGAGTGGAGGCTCGGCGATCCGCCCGCTCTCCTTCGTGCCCCGTTCCCTGCCTGCTCTGCTTGTGTGCCTCATCCTTCCCGCCGCTTCCTCTCCTCTCTAGGGGGACAAAAAGGTGACCTAAACATAACAACTCGGAGGTCCGCGCGTCGCGCGGATTTCTCGGATCGGCGCTGTACCCCCCTCCCTGGCGCGCGGAGCGCGCCAGGGGCGGCGCCGGAGGCGCCGCCGGGGGGCCCCAGCGCCGATCCGAGAAATCCGCGCGGACCTCCGAGTTTTTATGTTTATGTCACCTTTTTGTTCCCCTATTCTCCGCAGGGATCTCATCATTCCCGCCTTTCTCCGGCTGCTTCCTCCGTGGCCCCTCCCACCCTCCCCTCTTCCCGCGTCCGTCCCACCCGTTCTTCCGTCCGTCCTCTCTGTGCCTCTCCCTCTTGTCCTCGCCCCCGTTGCTTCCCTTCCCGGCGAATTAGCTTCGTCTCTTCACGCCTAGACCTCTCTCGCTCTAGCGTCCCCTCCCGCACGCTGGCCCCCGCCCTCCCGCCCTCTCTGGCAAGAGTCGGCGCCGTGGAAGGCCCAGTGCTAAGAAATTCCCTACACCCTCTAAAAATCCGATATGCTGATTTCTTCAATGCGGGATTCCCGAAAATCCAGCCCGACACTTTCTAGAGGGCCGGGGTTCCATCTTGGCGCCAATTTTTCGACGGTTCCAGGGCCATGTCACGGCCCCGTATGTGTTTTTGCCAAAATGCGTCGGAAATTTCGAACAATGAGGGAGCCAAAATCGTTCTGATGGCACGGCCGATCGTAATCCTGCCGTTTACGCATCCGGACCCGCTCCTGCTCCGCCTCTCCTTCCTGTTCCTTCTCCCCCTCCCCCTCGTCCCCCTCGTCCCCCTCCTCGTCGTTTTTCCTCCCGACCTCAAGAAAAACGTCTGAAGTGAAGTGTCCACACATGCAAACGTCAGCGGTGAGATGGGCGGCAAGGCAGAGACAGGAACAGAGGAGCAGCGCTGGCCAACATCATCCCAACTCGCAACACACGTCGGCACGGGAGTACAGATGAGCAGTGTTAGTCTCAAGCCATGCATCCCCTTGAGGCATGGGGGCACAGCGTGATGAGACAGCAAAAGCGATCACAGCATCGAAGTAGTAATCAACCTGACTGCTACCTGGGGGGAATTGCAGCTTCAGCGTGCAAGACAAGCGCTGGCGGCCCCCGACTGGCACGCAACTCTACGAGAGCGTCGCATAAACCTGACCTCGGGGACTCTCCAAACGCAGGGCGCATGAGCATGCTGCGCCTGGGAACTCAGAGAAACCAGGGTCGCCAGCCCCGATGAACCTGAGCACCGCGCAAATCATCCACGCCGCACGAAGGCGCGCGCCGTCGAGCTCTATAAGCGCTTCCCTTCGGAGGGCGGCCTGGCACAGCTGCCCCGGGGCTCCTCGCAGCTCCATAGGTTACCAGCCTCGAACTTATCCCTATCCCTAAGATTGACACGCCAAAAGGCGATGACAATCTTAGGGATTCGCCCTCAAAAAATAAGGGAATCCCTGAGATTGGCATCGTTATGAGGAGGTGCCCAGCATAGGGATAGGGATATGTTCCAGGCTGGTAAATAGGGGCCTGCTTTCGCCCCACTTGCCTTTGCACTGGGGGGTGGGGTCCCACGAGGCTCGTGGGGGGCCCGCGAGGAGCCCTGCCACCTCACCAGCCAATCGTGAGTTCTCGATAAATTGAACACCTCTGTCGAAACCCTCCGGACCATTCAGAAAAAGCTCGACGGGGTCTAAAGAAAACGCCATAAAAAAAAGGTTTCCCCGCCATTTCATTCGAACTCTCCAAGCAGGCCTGGATGTCGCCAGTGCCCCTGGGCGCGGCACGGAGAGTAACTATAAACTGAATGCCGGGGGGCTGGGGGGAAAGGGCCAAATCGCGAATGGGCATCTAAACAACATTCACGGCTTGACACGACACTCTGACCACCGTCGTCAGGAATCCCTCGGAGGCGGCAACACCTCTCAGCCGGTGCCGCTCGTTGAGAGCGTGCGGGTGCTGAGCTGGCTCTGCGTAGTGCCCTTTGCTGCGCACGGTGCGCGCAAGCTCCGCGTTCTCTAATTTCTGTTCCTCGGCGCGCTCAACACTCGCGGGGGGTATGGCGGCCATTGACGGCCGGGCATTTCGATGAGCCCTGCCTGACATGTTTGTGCGAACTGTATCATGTGCGTGGAAGTTCATGCCGCATGCTAAGCAAATTTCACCAGACACATACTTGGAGTCGGGGTCTAACTGGGGGTGGCAGATACAACCATGGGAGCCCGAGCTCTCCTGCTTGCCAGCGCTGTCCCACAGTCGAGGCAAGGGTGCAAGGCCTCCACAGGCGGCGGCAAAGTCCGCGGTGGTGCTGGACCGCTGCATCCCTTCTCTGAATTTATTCATCTGGCTGCGTCCGCAGACTGTCTGCGCACTTTCTCCTAAAACTTCCTAGTGCCGGCCCTCAACAGCCAAATCCACCAGGCTGATGGGCCTTAGGTGTTTCATGGCAAGATCCACGCGCCACCGCAGCCGCCCCAGATACTCGCAACAAAAGGCTGTCCACGAGCCCGGGCGGGGGCCAAGCTCATCAAGCAAGTCCAGCAGGCGCTGTAGCGCCAGTGTCAGAAGCCTGGGCAAGAAACGCCTCCTCCTGAGCCATGGCGTCAATTGAATTGGCAACGGGTCGCATGTGATGAATACCCGATGGCTCGTAGCAGAGTCATTCCCAAGCCTAGGAGCAACGGCGATGTGCCAGCTCGGGCCCCATGGAGATCAGTTGGCCCAGGAGGCTTCCCAAGCGTTTGTATGTCCCAGTGAAGCACAAAGGGATGTCCACGGAGGGCGCGGGGGAGCCCATGACAAACGACGCCCCGCATTCCCCTCGATCCTTTCTCTCTGAGACGGGGGGCCCCCCCTAGTCTTATGGGGGTGCTCCAAGGCGCCCAGCCGTAAGTTGGCAGCGCCGATGCTGGCGTCGAAGGCTACTCTGAACAACAGATCTGCGAAGGGCGTGCCGGGGCGCGCCCCCGTCCTGAGCGAGGCCACGGACCTGGGACCAGCGGCGTTCCATTGCGTCCACGACGGCCTCCGAGGCGTTTTTTCCTCAGCGCGCCCAGGGCGCCTGGTTTGGCGACGGGGGCGCGGCGCGGGGGTCCAAGGCGCGCGGGCGCCTCGGGATCCCCCGGGGCGCTGGGGACGCTTTGGCGCGAGCCCCCTGATGACCGGATAGATGAAAGGGCCCCAGGACACAAATAAATGCACACAAATAAAATAATTCCCCAAATTTTCTAATATTTTTGGGTTTTCTGTCCCCCCCCCCACTTCCCATATTTTCCCATATTTTCTCGGGAATCGGCGATTAATTGTGTCTGTGTGTTTCTTTCCCTCCTGAATAGAATGCGGCCCGGAGATCCACGGGCAGAGACGGGAACGCGCGCTGCCGGGCTCGCTCCACCATCGCGGCAGGTCGCAGGCGCAAGGAGGCAGTGTCGGCGCCGCTCTCAGGCCCCCCTCCACCCCGCGGGATCTCCGCAGCCACGCGCTAAGGCGCCTCGGGGAACCTACTCCGGAGGAAGGCGTGGCGCGGCTTCGCAGCGTGGCGCCAAAATGAGATGTCCCAGGAGCGCTCTATAGGACCCTGGAGAACCTGGTTTGCGCAAGTTGCATTCTCAAACGCCCTTGTGGAGCAAGGGGCCGCGTCAATCTCGACGAAAAGCGGGCTCGGAATAGACGTGCGTCCGTGCGGTTCAACCTGGGGCAAGTCGTTGGTAAGACGATCGGGGCCCGCTTCTCGTCTCTTGACAGCTCTGATGTTGTCGTGCTGAAGTCTTCTACAGGGGGTGATCACGTCCAACTTCCTGGAATCGATGCTGTCATGCTCAAGTAGAGTTTGCATCCAACAACCGGGTCGCCCCAACTCAAGGCCCGGTCATTCCCGACCGCCGCGGAGTAAATGAAGGCGTCAGCAGGGTCACTGAAGAGTGCCAGAACCTCGCCCTGGGCCCCGCGGCGCACTCGCGCGCCCCCGACTTGACACTTGGACCTCTTCTCCCCCGACCCTCTGCGATTGATGGGCCCCCCCCATCCGACGCGGCCCTCGTGCACGCATCTGTCATAAGCTATATGCTGGGCCATGTCGCCCAGCAGGGCGCGTGTGAGGGGGCGGCTGAGCCTTGGCCAGACACCTCATTAACTGCGTGCTCAGCCAGGGTCGCTGCCGCCCCGAGGAGTGAGGAACAGTTCCGAGACAAGAAACTCCAACTCCAGGTCTGCGATGCCCTCGGGAGGCTCCGAGTCAAGCAGGACCACCCGAATCCTGCCCCAGAGGCGCCATGCTTGTCGGACTTGCCTCCTGAAAATAAGAAGACCCAGGGACTCTTCGGAGCCGTGGGGCTTGATCGGAATGTGATGGGGCTGGGGGAAAACAGTGCCGTGCTCTATCGTATATATACATATATACACACTCGAATATATCATGCAAGCGCTGGTTCATGTCCACCGAGCGCGGCGCCCCGGGGAAGGCTGCGACCTTTTTTCCGATACGTGGCCGCCTTGACGTGGTCGTGAATTCACAGTGCGAGCCTCAAATCGGCGTCATTGGCCCTGCCCCGAGACTCAAAGCGAACAACTGCGGTGCAGTGATCCATGCCAGCACAAAAAGAACCGATGCCATTTTTTACCTGCGCCTGTCCGATGGCCGGAGCCATTGCTTGCTCGACCGCGATGTAATCAATTAAATAGTGAACTTCTGACTGAATCATGAGCATGATATATGTGTACGAGCCCTTGCTAAAGCGCGGGGCGAGGGCATTCGTGGTGGCCGTGCCCGTCTCCCACAGCAGGTCGTGCATCCGCCTGCCCGACTTGTCCTCCTCCTGTGAAGCCTCCCCCTTCCAACGGCAGTCGGGCGCGCCCTGCCCACTCTAGCGCTGGCGTCCAGCTAGGCAACGTGAACCTTCCACCTGCTGAATTAGACAATCAAATCTCGTCAACATTGCCTGCCCGGTTCGCGGCTAGATTCGTCGCTTCGGCGCAGCGCATGCGCCGCTGGAAAGACCAGTCGAAACAGCGGGGCACGACGAGATATATACCGCCGAGTGCCTAGGTGTCGCGTAGAGCGCGGTAAAATAATTCTGTTCAAAGAACAACGCTGCATCGCCACATGTCCCACATGGGCTATTCAAGGGAACCCGGAGCTTCAGTGGCGCATTATGACCCCAATCGGCTTGCGCGGAAATGACGCGTTCCCACTGTGGATTTCGCGCATTCTGAGCCCCTGCGATGCGACGCCTGTCCTCCGCGAGCTGGTGCCTGAGGGCCTCCCCAGTTGTTCGGGCTCGCCTCGCCGCCGCAGCCTCGGCGCCCCTGCTTGTCTTGGCGTCGAAGGTAGCCAGCCGCGCGTTGAGGTCAATGGTACTCGATCGCGTATCTGTCCTGGGATGTTTGCATGCGGTACTAGCGACGCCGCAGATGTCGGGCAACTATGCGCTGCCCTGCTTCGACTGCAGGGCGTCGAAGCAGGGTGACCGCAGCGCGCGGGCTCAAGTCCACATCTCTGCTGCTCTGCCCAAGGCCGAGCGCCTTCCTCGTCGTGTCAGTCGTCGCGCGATGCCGCCCTGAACAGCGAAACGTGCAATCGCGGCCTATCGGACGCGCGGCGCGGGTCTCCGCGGGTGCCCCCTTTGGCCGCCGCAATCTGGGAGCGCCAGAATATTCGGGGGCTTCAAGCAGCGCGGGCGGGGGTTTACGCCCAACCGCTCGGCCTGTTTTTTGCTGAACTGTCTGCGAGCCCATTCCAAGGGTGGCCCGAGTGGCAGCACGCGCGCACAAGTGATGCGCCATAGCCCCTGCGTGCGCACTGAAGCGCGCGAGACGTAAGCCGTGCCGAATGCTGGTTTGTGGGCAGTGCGTCGTATCCCAAGGGGGCGTTAACTGCCGACTGGCTATCGCATAGCATGACAACTAGCCGCGTACATTCGACCGTGGTGCATAGGACATCACCCCTCTCAAACTGCGCGCGTGTAGCATCCATCCCAAGCGCGCATTCCTGTCGGCCACGGAAACTGACCGACTCGTCTGGCACGCCTCTGACGGCTGCGAAAACCTGAGCGGAGCCCCTGAGAGTGCTTCCGTGCGAAACGCGGGGACGAATGCGGACAGACCCGTGCACCGTGTGCCCCGCGCGCAAATATCCGCAACAAGCTGGGAAATAGGATGAATAAATATGCCGCGCGCTCGCAGAATCTCCGGCGAGTTCGGACTGATCGAGATTCCGAGACGCGACCTGGCAAGATTGCCTGGCCTCCTTTTGCCCGCAAGTGTTGCCCGCATTGCTTGTGGGCATGTGGGGAAGCAAAGAGCACAGGCGGACGAAAAGCCGCGCGCCCGCCGCCCTCTACCAAGGCTGACCCCCCAGCCAGCAACTGCTTCGAGCTGCCCCCTGGGAGGGGCGGGGCGCGGTGGCGGCGGGGGTGGGGCGCGGCTGCAAGTGCACTTGCCGTTTGGCTCGCCTCGCGAGGGCTGAGAAGCTCGCGGGGGTGCGGCCGAGGAGGTGCCCTTGCAGACTTGCGATGCATGCGGTATCTCACCTGGCTGTTGGGCGCGTTCGCGGGCAAGGCACTGCCCCCGGAAGCTGACCCTGAAACGGGGGCCGAAGAACCGGCGGCATTCCCTAGCTCCGGAGGTTCATGCCTCGGGGCCCCTTTGGCGCATCCTCTGGCGCAGGGCCCACCTCAGAATCGACGGGGCGAAACTATGCCGATTGACAATTTCCCCGCGCTGGCGGAATGGCGAGGGCATTTGAGCATCGAACAGCCTATCCTCTGATGGCCCCCGCAGGATTTCTATGACGTAGAGCTGACTCCTGTCGTCCAGCTCGCGCCCCATTCGCTGCGACTTCCCGGGTGGAGACGGCCCCCTTGGCGGCGAGCCCTCCCCGACCTCCTCCTTGGCCTCCTCTGTGAGTGGGCGGGCCCTCGGCGCTGGCAGCCGCCCGAGCTGGCGGGGCCGCCCCCGCGCTCGAAGCCGCCGCCCCAATCGCTGACCAGACTGGCGGGGACAACGTCGCTGCAAGAGGCCCGCGGGGCCGCGGATCTGCTCCGTCGCCTTCCTGGGCTGGGTGGGCGCCGGGAATGTCTGGTCTATCGGTGGGGCCTCCTCTAGCGTCTCGTTCGCTGGCTGAGCGGTGCCGCCCGCCTAGGCGCCCTTCGCCTTGATCTCCTCCTGCGTCTCCTCCGCGTTGGGCGCGCTGGGCGACTGCATCTCCGCTGCGCGTCGTGGCGCGGCTTGCCGCGGGCCGCGCCCGCTCCGAACCTCGGGGTTGGTGGCGGGGGCGTCGCGGCGCGCGGGGTGGCGGGGCCGTCGCTGCCGCTGTCGGATGCGCCCCCCGACCCCTTTGCGGGCTGTCGCCTGACCCGCCGCGCCGCCGCGCGGGGTTCTCGGCGACCCCCCCCGCCCCCTCCCCCTTCTGAGTCTCCGCCCTCGGCCCATGGATTGCGGCGGCCCCTGGAGGGCCGCGCCAAAACTTGGCGCTGCTGGCGTCGACGTTGATGCCGTCGCCAGGCTCGCAAGAGCCTGCTGCCGCTGGGTGGGCGGGCGGGCGGCCTCCTGCGCAGGCGCGGCAGGTCGGTTGTCGTCTCGGGCAGGGGGCCGTGCCGCGCCCGTGACTCGCGAGGGCGCGCGCGTGGAAGCTCTGGCCCTCTTGCGTCATCGCGAGCTGCTCCTGCATGGCACTCTAACGATCTATCGTGAATTCGGGAAGGTCAGCGACCGTGCGAAGCGCCACCTATGGCTCCAGGTCTGATCCTCAGCGAGGTGCCTTCGCTTCGGCGGCTGGGGCCGCTGGCGCCGTTGAAGCAGCGGCCACGGCCGCGGCCGCTGCCCGTGCCGCTGCATTGGGCTGCGGCGCCGCTTCTCAGGTGGGGGCTGCACCTGTGCCTGCGGGGGCGGCGGTAGCACCCTCATGGCGATCGCCTCGGCTGCTGCCTTGCCCGGCTGCGCCTCGGCCGCTGCCTGCTGCCGACGCGTCGTTGTCGCTCTGCGCGGGCTGGGCCATGAGCCATTCGTCGTCGTCGCCAGGTCCACCTTCTGCCGCGCAGAGTTGCTGGATGGAGCGCTGCACTTTTTTCACCTGCGTTTGGAGAGTGGCCTCCTCGCCGAGAAACCCTTCAACATTGGTGCGATCTTGGCCAACCGCTCCTTGGCGTTGATGAGCTGCGCCTTCAGCTCGTGCAGCTGCTTATCTGAGCCTTTGGTTGCGCGCGTCCTGTACTTCAGCGCGCTGATGTCCCATTCCAGGGCAGGGCCCTCCTTGCCTGCGCCCCAACATGCGACGAGAAGGTTGTCATGCTTCTTGACCTTCGACTGCGCCCGGGACTTGTACTTTTTGATGTGATCGGCCTCGGGCGGCGGAATTTCCCAGGCTGAGATGCTGGCGATCGCCTCGTTCGGGGGTGTGACAGGGATTTTGACACTCATATTGCGAATGTCGGAGGACTTCTTCAGGTTGCGGTTCCTATTCGCTGATCACCTCGTGGGGTCTGAGCATGGAGCCCACGCGTTGCTGCAACCGCACCTCCACTAGGAGTGGGGGCTCTACTGTCGCGGGTTCTGCGTGCCCATGTCAGAGGAGCTGGTGAAGGAGAAAGCGAACACGCCCTCTCTTCTCTCGCTGCCTTGTGTGCGGGGCTGGCTCATCCCGGCCCCGACGGCCCGTCGACCGCGCCGTCTGTCGCGCGCGACCGCAGCTGCGCAGCCGCAAGCTGGACGCGGCGCGTGAGCCGTGGGCCCGCCAAAATGGTCGGACCTAAATGGGTGTCCCCTCCTCCTCTTCTGCCCCCCCCCCC